AGCAACCAGAGAGCATATGACATTAGCAACCAGAGAGCATATGATACTTAGCAACCAGAGAGCATATGAATATTAGCAACCAGAGAGCATATGAATATTTAGCAACCAGAGAGCATATGAATATTTAGCAACCAGAGAGCATATGAATATTTAGCAACCAGAGAGCATATAAATACTTAGCAACCAGAGAGCATATGAATATTTAGCAACTAGACAACATATGAGTACTTAGCAACCAGAGAGCATATGACTACTTAGCAACCAGAGAGTATATGAATACTTAGCAACCAGAGAGCATATGAATATTTAGCAACCAGAGAGCATATGAATATTTAACAACCAGAGAGCATATGCATATTTAGCAACCAGAGAGCATATGAATACTTAGCAACCAGAGAGCATATGAATATTTAGCAACCAGAGAGGATATGAATACTTAGCAACCAGAGAGCATATGAATATTTAGCAACTAGACAACATATGAGTACTTAGAAACCAGAGAGTATATGAACACTTAGCAACCAGAGAGCATATGGATACTCAGCAACCAGAGAGTATATGAATATTTAGCAACCAGAGAGCATATGAATACTTAGCAACCAGAGAGCATATGAATATTTAGCAACCAGAGAGCATATAAATACTTAGCAACCAGAGAGCATATGAATATTTAGCAACTAGACAACATATGAGTACTTAGAAACCAGAGAGTATATGAACACTTAGCAACCAGAGAGCATATGAATATTTAACAATCAGAGAGCATATGAATATTTAACAATCAGAGAGCATATGAATACTTAGCAACTAGACAACATATGACTACTTAGCAACCAGAGAGCATATGACTACTTAGCAACCAGAGAGTATATGAACACTTAGCAACCAGGGAGCATATGAATATTTAGCAACCAGAGAACATATGAACACTTAGCAACCAGACAACATATGGATTCTTAGCAACTATACATTATATATACACGTAACAGTATTATCCCATATTGGCTGAAAGGGGCGTTATTATGTTGCTCCTTTACACCTCGTTACCTTGGTTACATGCCGTAACTATACAAACCAGGGTTGACACCACATATACTCGATTTAATGTTTTTTTTCTGGCAGTGATTACAACAGTGAACACTCATTACGATGTGCACAGTAACACACTAACATATCTTGTAATACTAAAGCGATACTACAGGTAAAGACTACTTAACATCGGTAAGGTTTCCTTAGATCCCTTCATAAGTAACTCTAATCTCAGTTCTGCCTTTTCAGTGCCTTTCATCAGAACACGTATCTGAGATGGAATGCCAGGTTAGGGGCCGAAAGGTAATATTTCATGTCACGTGATTGAGTATTAAGACACTTTCCGACCCTTTGTATTAATTCAATGTTACACGTTATCACGCCGTAATCAATCCATGATGTCAATGAAATGATAATTGCCATGACAGCTGTACAGTTGCCATGACAGTCTCACGGTTGCCATGGTAGTTGCATCATTGCAATGACAGGTACATGACCGCCATAGCAGTTGCACTGTGGCATGATAGTTTCCATGGCAATTACATGTCGTGTGTTTCGATAGAATTGTCACCATTTTTTGGAGTACAGAGAGTGTTTATTTGTATCCAATGCTTGCTGATGGAAATTAGCCTTTACCAGTAGTACGCCACCAACATCCAATAGGAAACTATGGTCACCGGGAATCACATTACGACAGCAACATCCAATAGGAAACTATGGTCACCGGGAATCACATTACGACACCAACATCCAATAGGAAACTATGGTCACCGGGAATCACATTACGACACCAACATCCAATAGGAAACTATGGTCACCGGGAATCACATTACGACAGCAACTAAGTTTCGAGTGACATCATGACCACGTGTGTTTTATGGTATAAACTTTTTGTTGTCTACTTAGAGGTGTTACCATGGTGATTGGTAATCAGCAATCAAAGAGATCCAACATGTCTTAAAATGACGATTAATAAAATCTTAACCCAGGTGCAAACATGTAAAGAAAATTGGACGTGGTCATTTAAGTAACTGGAATTCAATTACTGTCATAATTATACAGTAACAACGTGGAATGAAATTACAGGGTGACATGCGTAAGGGCGTCATACTTATTTTTAACAACACCGATCGGAAACGATGAGTTGTTTCTTACCCCTGGGTTTACCACCGACCCGTTTTACAAACTCTTTTTTCTTTTTAAGTTTGATCGCAACAGTAGGTTCTGTGTCAATGACGTCATCTTTAACAGCGTCATCCACTTTGGCATCGTTCTGCAAAATTGCAGTTTTTTTCTTACGACGCAGCTTTGAGCGTTTGTGCTTGATTTCTAGATGGCAAAGCGAAGTGATCGTACACAGATGTATAGAGGTTGTTAGTAGTGTAAGAATGCGCCGTAGTCAAAGTAGTACGCCAGACATCCCGTTGATAAGACTGTCTAATTAGACACAGTGTTGCCTTGCGTGTTGTGATATTTAAATGTGAAAAGTGACGAACTAGTCGAAACTAAGGAATGACAAAAATATTACTCTGTGTTTATTTCAGACTCGTTATCAACGTGACGTCACTTCTGTCATTGTTAAGATGCAGTGGAGAGATCGATATAGAATATAATGACGACACTGAGTAAACGTAAGAATCAATGCTATATCACGTGATGTGTAATGTATAGGAAGCGAAAGTCAATGTGTAAACAAATTATGATAGAGAATATATCACAGACAAATGCCATTCGGCTAGCCTCGCAATATGAAAGTCAAAACTCAAATTAAAAAGAAAACCATTGACCTTTTGAAAAAAAAACTTACCTGGTTCGGGTTGTGGAGTCGGCTCCCTTGGTGGCGGAGATGGTGAGGGCGGAGGTGGCGGGGTCGGCTCCCTTGGCGGTGGAGGCGGAGTAGGTGTTCTAGGTTTTGGCGGAGGTACTTTCCTCGGAGTTGGCGCTGTTGGGAAAGCGATACTAAATTAACTTTGCTACGTTTGACCACGGTGATATGCAACACTATGCAACAAACATGTTGTGTTGCATAGCTTGAAACATGTTAAATTGTGTCATTTGTCAAACAGTAAATTATGCAAAGTAGAGTAAGTCACCTCACACATGATGCCTCAGGCTGAATGTGTCACCGCACAGATATGGGTGAATAAGTCATCACACACATATAGCTGAATATGCCAATTATTTATTTTACTAACCACAGTTTAGGTGTGTTTTTTGGAGAGGGGCTATTAACAAGTCTCGGTTCTCATATATTCCAGTGACTTTATTGACACAACGATGACAGCAAAAAGATACATACACACAGTGAAAGGCAAGGAAAACAGTACCGTACGGCGCATCACCACACACTGCGGCATATCGCCACACACTGCAGCATATCGCCATACATTGCGGCATATCGCCACACACTGCGGCATATCACCACACACTGCAGCATATCGCCATACATTGCGGCATATCCCACACACTGCGGCATATCACCACACACTGCAGCATATCGCCAT